CTATGCAACCAGGAATAATATGGTATTGTGTGTATTTTAAACTTTTCCATGAATTGGATTATACACACATCATTCTGTAACTTGGATATTTTTTTTTTTACACTCAATGTTGTTTTTGAGACCCATTCATGTAAAATCTACGTAGACCTAGCCAGCTCATTTCTGTTAAACTGCTATATTCTCTAATATGACTATTGACAGTGTGGCTATAAATATTCTATAGTATGAGTATAGTGTATTTTATCCATTCCCTTCTTGTACCATGTACAAGAGATGCTCTAAAGCAGGGGTCCTCAAACTTTTTAAACAGGGGGCCAGTTCACTGTCCCTCAGACCGTTGGAGGGCCAGACTATAGTTTAAAAAAAAACTATGAACAAATTCCTATGCACACTGCACATACCTTATTTTGAAGTAAAAAAACAAAACGGGAACAAATACAATATTTGTATTTGCATGTGGCCCGCGGGCCGTAGTTTGAGGACCCCTGCTCTAAAGTATATATCTCAAGGTAAGCTTGCTGGTTGTTAGGGTCTGAGCCTTCTAATATGACTGTACCAGTTCATACCGCAGCAGCAATGGTTAAATTTGTTTCCTCACATTCTCAGTATTAGGAAACTTTTTAATTTTTTCCAAACTTATGAGAGTGAAATTAAGTCTCATTGGTATTTTATTTTTAATTTCCCTGATTACTGGTGAGCTTGAGCATCATCTCCTATAATCATTAGTCATTTAGTTCCCTTTACTATGAATTGATCATTTTTGGCCCACTTTTCTATTGGGTGATTTTGTTTTTTTCCTTTCATTTTTTAAAAACATCTTTTGGATAAAATCTTTTCCCTGTTGTATATGTTACACATATATTGATCTAGTCTGCTGTTTGTTGTTTAGCATTACTATTATCTCACTTGCCATTCAGAAGCTTACATTTTGACATAGTCAAAGTGATCAGTCTTTTCCTCTATAATTTATGCTTTTTTGTATATTGCTTAAAAAGGTTTTCCTTACCAGAATATCATAAAAATATTCCCTATATTTTCTTCTGGTTGTTAAAATTTTTGTTTTTAGTAATAATGAAATTTCTTTTTGTTTTTCACTTAAGATGGAGATCTAATTTCCTTTCTGTAGAAAGCCCAACTACCTTTTATTGAGTAGTCAATTCTCTCCTCTCTGATCAGTAATACTAGCTCTATTAGATAAGTGGCCACATGTCTTTAGAATTTCTATGTTCAACTGATCTTTTATCCATGGCTCAGCCAAAGCTACCATTTTACTTCTTTAGCTTTATAATAAACTCTGATGTGAGAGAAACACATCAGTTGGTTGCCTCCCGCAGAAGCCTGGACCAGAGCCCAGGCCGGGGAGGAGCCTGCAACTGAGGTACGTGCCCTTGACCAGAATCAAACCCAAGACCCTTCTTTCTGCAGGCCGATGCTCTATTCACTGAGCCATACCAATGAGGGCTTGGTCTTCTTTTTAAAATGTATTCTTCTATTCTGCTAAACTGGGTTTGTTCATATTTTATTTGGATTTTTTACATCTATGTTTATAAGAGAGGTTGGCATATATTTTAATACTGTCTTTGACTGGTTTGGAAATAAAATTATACTGTCTCATAAAATAAATTAAATGTCTCTATTTGTCTCCTCTTTGAAACAGTTTGTATAAGGCAGGAACGATCTGTCCCTCAACCATGGTAAAACTCAGCTGTAAATCTTTCTGGCTCTGTTTCCTTCTTAGGCTGGACATTTTGACTACTGAGCAAGCTCTTATTTTGTTATTACCATATTAGAAGTAGGTAACACTTATACAGTGCCCCTGTTCCAATCTAAGCATTTCAACAACTAATTCTCATTCATCAATACCTATTCCTGAAAGTGGACCCAGCATCTGTATTTTTTAAATCTTTTAAATGTCTAGTCCAACCCCCCTTCTCATATGACAGATTGGGTAACTGAGTTTCAGAGAGGGGATCCCACAGCTAACAGTGTTGGAACCAGAGCTCAAATGAAGAGTTTCCTAATCCCATGTTGGCTTCTGGGAGCCAATTTGACATTGGCTCTTCTTCCACTATCTGCTACACCACACCTGCAAAGGGGAGGGCTCTTGCTTGCACACAGTCCTTGTCTGCCCCCTGGTGGGCTAAAATGGCAAGGAATCCTACCTTGAGCAAAACTTAAGTTACAAAGCTCTACAGAGTCCTTCCGGTGTGGATTAATCCTAAAGCTGGCGGCTGGTGATGGTGCTTTACAGCATCCTTGTACTTGGAAGGAGAAAACAACATCATCGACACAAAAATCCAACCACTCTGGATTGGTTTAGTGCCTTGCCTTCACTTGCCAACTTTAAATATAAGGCACTCCCTCACCTAAGAAACTCAGGGAGAAAATTTTAAAATCTTACTGTACCTTTTATTCCAATCTTATGGTTCATCTCACAGGTTTTGGAGTCCAACACACCAAGGACAAATTCTAACTCCACAATTTATTAATTTTACAGTTGGTGAGCCACATAGCATCTTTAATCCTCAGTTTTATCATCTGTAAAATGGTCGTTATAGTGCCTAATTCACACAGTTGTGAAGGTTAAATGTGAATGTAAAGAGCTTGGTTTGGCGCTGTGCCTGGGACGCCCCTCACACCCACACTGGTTATCATTACTCTTACTCTTACTGAAATGGACCCTGTTACCAGGCCTGAAAAACACACTCAAATGGGAAAAGAATGTTTTTCATGCCATCGTATATATCTGCAGAGGGGCTTGCTCTCCTCGCCCCTCAGAAAGAACCTTCGGCTCTCCACACCCCCTTCACTACAGCCTTCCACCTAATCTCTCTCTGTGAGAAAAATCTATAACTCTGATTTTTTTCCTACATAAAAATAGATTTTGCATGTGGTCATATTCTCATTCCTGGGGAATCTCCTATGAAGGATGAGATGAGAAGATGAGGAAAAACCACTGAGAAAAATCTAGAACTCTGATTTTTTCCTACATAAAAATAGATTTTGCATGTGGTCATATTCTCATTCCTGGGGAATCTCCTATGAAGGATGAGATGAGAAGATGAGGAAAAACCAGCAATGGAGCCTGGGAATGTGTGACTGATTTAGTGGGAGAGAAACCAGGAGACGAAGGAAACCATCAGTTGGGCCAAATGTTCTAACAGGTTAGGCAAGACCAGGACCTAGAATTGACGATCAAATTTCACAAAGTGGAGGTCATTAGTAACCTTGGCAAAAGAAATTTTTTAAATCCTTACCCAAGGATATGTTTTTACTGATTTTTAGAGAGAAAGAGAAACATCAATTGGCTGCCTCTCGTATGGGCCCTGACCATGGATCAAACCCGCAACCTAAGTATGTGCCCTGATTCGGAATTGAACTCGAAAGCCTTTGGTGCATGGGACAATGCTCCAACCAACCCACCCAGCCAGGGCAACAAAAGCAATTTTGAAGTGGTGGTTGTGGAATTCTGATTGGAAGATGAGAAGATGAGGAGAAACCAGCAATGGAGACTGGGAATGTGTGACTGATTTAGTGGGAGAGACACTAGGAGAGTGCCTTATCCTAAAGGCCACACAGCATCTCAAGACCAAGGAAACCAACAGTTGGGCCAAATGCTCTAACAGGTTAGGCAAGACCAGGACCTAGAATTGATGATCAAATTTCACAAAGTGGAGGTCATTAGTAACCTTAGCAAAAGAAATCTTTTAAATCCTCACCCAAGGATATATTTTTACTGATTTTTAGAGAGAAAGAGAAACATCGATTGGCTGCCTCTCGTATGGTCCCTCACCAGGGATCAAACCCGCAACCTAAGTATGTGCCCTGATTGGGAATCGAACTCGAAACCCTTTGGTGCATGGGACAATGCTCCAACCGACCCACCCAGCCAGGGCAACAAGAGCAATTTTGAAGTGGTGGTTGTGGAATTCTGATTGGAGTAAAGAATTTAATACATTGAGGATAGACTATTTTTTTTTTGAGAAGTTTTTCTAAAAAGAGGAGCAAAGAACTAGGATGGTAAGTGGAGGGGGAAATAGTTTATTAAGCTGGAAGTAATAGCCCAGCTAGTGTTGCTCAGTGGTTGAGCATTGACCTACGAACCAGAAGGTCACGGTTCAATTCCCAGTCAGGGCACATGCCTGGGTTGCGGGCTCGATCCCCAGTGGGGGGCGTGCAGGAGGAGGCAGCTGAATGATTCTCTCTCATCATTGATGTTTCTCTCTCTCACTCCCTCTCCCTTTCTCTCTGAAATCAATAAAAATATGTATTTTTTAAAGATGGAAGAAATAACAGCACATTTATCATGCTGATGGGAATGATCCGGTGTGAGGGGAAGACTGATGATGCAGCAGAGGGAGGGAAGAAGTACCAGAGCAGCATCCTTCACAATCAGAGGGAGCGGGAGCGAGCGCACAGGTGACAGCCGTCCATAGAGCAGAGACATGTTTACTTATGATAACAAGGGGAGGGGGTCTATGCACACAGGGGCCTTCAGATGGATGGAATGGAAGCCTGTGCAAGTCCTCTCGGATGAAGTGTTTTCTCAGTGCAGTAGGAAGCCAGGTCTTCAAGGAGAGTAGTTGTATGAAGGGAAATAAAGTACCGTCAAGAGAGCAAGTGGTATGTTCAGTTTTAGAAATAGAACTCAAAGAGTGATGGTGATGAGGTCTAGTGGGTAAAAGTCTTTGCTGAAAACACTTATGGTAAATAACGAGGTTCACAGGTAACTTCAATTGAAATTCAAGTAACAATAAACACAATATGCGATGCTCTAAATTGTCTTTATTTTCTAATATCTACTTACACCACTCTACAAAATGCTCTATACCATTGCTTAAGAAAACTTCTGAAACATTTATGGTGGGAATTAGACCCCGTTTACCTACCCATCAAAACATCATGCAAACACTTATTTTCTTAGAGGGTATTCAGCTTTGTGGACTTACTAACGTAACAGGTGATGGTACGTTTTTAATTCCACATTCCACAATGAGAATCTAACCCAAGCATATAGTTTTCAGATAAAACAGCATGCATTCCTTTTGAACCATTTCAGATTAAATTGTTTTTGTTTTCCCCAGAAGTTAAAGCTGGCTCAATCTCCTCTCCCCGGTCACAGCCTCGAGGTCATGGCAGATTTGTAAAGAGTATACTGACTTCTCCTGGGATTCTTCATCCGGCAATGCCGACGGTTCATGTCGTCACAGGTAGAAGAGAGAATTGGCCAGTTGCAGACTTGGTTCTTTGTGGATGCTCTGTGCCACGAGGAAGGTCAGCTTGTGCGCGTACTGGCACGGTGCTGGGATACTGACTAAGCCCTGAGAGGAGAAAGTATGGGTGGTAATTAAGAGGATAACTTGTTCTTCAAAGCGATATTCCCCTGAGATTCTTCATCTACTAGTTACATACACAATAGGATATGTTTGTGAGTAAACAGTAACTAGACCCAACCAACAAAGGGCATCTGCTCACTGGACCTTATGCTCACTGGGCAGAATGGGGCACAGGCCAGTCTGGCTTCATGGCGCTGGGAGCTGGGAGCTACCACACTCAGGGCTAATCTATGTTTCCTTCAAATTAATGTTCCAAGGGGCTCGGGACGAATCTCGGCCTTGGACTCTGAGAGATCTCGGCCTCATGCACAGGCACACAGAACAGGGCCAGGCCCGTCACTTTCCCACCAGACCTCTGAGCTGGCTTCAACTTCCACTGTAACATGGAAATAACAACATCCTCATTTCCTCCCAGGCTTGTGTAAGATAATGAGTGTATACAATAAAGTCCTCTGGGAATGATAAATATTAATATATTAATAGTTATTGCCATTTCATTTCTGTGAAAGACTGGGTTTCTCCCATTGTGGACTCAAGGAGTCAGTCATTCATTCACTCATTCATTCATTTCTCCTTTGTGAAAAGTCGGGCATTGTGCGAGGTGTAGAGATACAAAGGTAAACTGGGGGAGAATTCCTGGGTGGGAACCTTGAATATCGGTACTCGAGTGTCAGTAAATGGCTGTCACTCACCGGCCAGTTGTAGTACAGGTGGCACAGTTTGAATGTAAGTCTCTGCATGTGGTCGGGCTTCAAGCCGTTGTCATCGTAGATGACATTATAGTGGGTGGGATTAACAGTTCCCCGACAGGCGGCTTGGCTGACCAAGTAAAAGTCATACCTGAGGGGGGAAATGGAATGAATGTGAGAAAGAAGGCAAACAAAATAAGGCCAAACTTGAACAACACACAGCGAATGTTTCATTGAACATCCGTTTTGGAACAGCACTGACCATTCAGGACGCGTGGCTTCTGAATCCACCACGGTGCCAAGTGGTGGGTTCTGTAAGGTGCGGTTCTGTTCCATGAAGAACCGTGGCATGCACCTCTTCCTGACCACAATCACCGACAGCTTGGAGCTTGGAGCCAGAGAGACAACAAAGTAAGACAAAGAACGGAAACCCAGCCATGCCGCTTCCTATCTTCGGGTTTTTTAAAAAAGATGAGCTCACATATAGTAATTCTAAGTTTTGATGGAATAAATGAATAAATTCATTAGAAAAGCACTGCAACAACAAAGAAAATAAAAATCACCCTCGCCATAGCCGGTTTGGCTCAGTGGATAGAGCGTAGGCCTGCGGACTGGAAGGTCCCAGGTTCGATTCCGGTCAACGGTATGTACCTTGGTTGCGGGCACATCCCCGGTGGGAGGTGTGCAGGAGGCAGCTGATCGATGTTTCTCTCTCATTGATGTTTCTAACTCTCTCTCTCCCTTCCTCTCTGTAAAAAAAAAGGTTCACAGGTAACTTCAATTGAAATTCAAGTAACAATAAACACAATATGCGATGCTCTAAATTGTCTTTATTTTCTAATATCTATTTACACCACTCTACAAAATGTTCTATACCATTGCTTAAGAAAACTTCTGAAACATTTATGGTGGGAATTAGACCCCGTTGACCTACCCATCAAAACATCATGCAAACACTTATTTTCTTAGAGGGTATTCAGCTTTGTGGACTTACTAACGTAACAGGTGATGGTACGTTTTTAATTCCACATTCCACAATGAGAATCTAACCCAAGCATATAGTTTTCAAATAAAACAGCATGCATTCCTTTTGAACCATTTCAGATTAAATTGTTTTTGTTTTCCCCAGAAGTTAAAGCTGGCTCAATCTCCTCTCCCCGGTCACAGCCTCGAGGTCATGGCAGATTTGTAAAGAGTATACTGACTTCTCCTGGGATTCTTCATCCGGCAATGCCGACGGTTCATGTCGTCACAGGTAGAAGAGAGAATTGGCCAGTTGCAGACTTGGTTCTTTGTGGATGCTCTGTGCCACGAGGAAGGTCAGCTTGTGCGCGTACTGGCACGGTGCTGGGATACTGACTAAGCCCTGAGAGGAGAAAGTATGGGTGGTAATTAAGAGGATAACTTTTTCTTCAAAGCGATATTCCCCTGAGATTCTTCATCTACTAGTTACATACACAATAGGATATGTTTGTGAGTAAACAGTAACTAGACCCAACCAACAAAGGGCATCTGCTCACTGGACCTTATGCTCACTGGGCAGAATGGGGCACAGGCCAGTCTGGCTTCATGGCGCTGGGAGCTGGGAGCTACCACACTCAGGGCTAATCTATGTTTCCTTCAAATTAATGTTCCAAGGGGCTCGGGACGAATCTCGGCCTTGGACTCTGAGAGATCTCGGCCTCATGCACAGGCACACAGAACAGGGCCAGGCCCGTCACTTTCCCACCAGACCTCTGAGCTGGCTTCAACTTCCACTGTAACATGGAAATAACAACATCCTCATTTCCTCCCAGGCTTGTGTAAGATAATGAGTGTATACAAAAAGTCCTCTGGGAATGATAAATATTAATATATTAATAGTTATTGCCATTTCATTTCTGTGAAAGACTGGGTTTCTCCCATTGTGGACTCAAGGAGTCAGTCATTCATTCACTCATTCATTCATTTCTCCTTTGTGAAAAGTCGGGCATTGTGGGAGGTGTAGAGATACAAAGGTAAACCGGGGGAGAATTCCTGGGTGGGAACCTTGAATATCGGTACTCGAGTGTCAGTAAATGGCTGTCACTCACCGGCCAGTTGTAGTACAGGTGGCACAGTTTGAATGTAAGTCTCTGCATGTGGTCGGGCTTCAAGCCGTTGTCATCGTAGATGACATTATAGTGGGTGGGATTAACAGTTCCCCGACAGGCGGCTTGGCTGACCAAGTAAAAGTCATACCTGAGGGGGAAAATGGAATGAATGTGAGAAAGAAGGCAAACAAAATAAGGCCAAACTTGAACAACACACAGCGAATGTTTCATTGAACATCCATTTTTGAACAGCACTGACCATTCAGGACGCGTGGCTTCTGAATCCACCACGGTGCCAAGTGGTGGGTTCTGTAAGGTGCGGTTCTGTTCCATGAAGAACCGTGGCATGCACCTCTTCCTGACCACAATCACCGACAGCTTGGAGCTTGGAGCCAGAGAGACAACAAAGTAAGACAGAGAACGGAAACCCAGCCATGCTGCTTCCTATCTTCGGATTTTTTAAAAAAGATGAGCTGACATATAGTAATTCTAAGTTTTGATGGAATAAATTAATAAATTCATTAGAAAAGCACTGCAACAACAAAGAAAATAAAAATCACCCTCGCCGTAGCCGGTTTGGCTCAGTGGATAGAGCGTCGGCCTGCGGACTGAAAGGTCCCAGGTTCGATTCCAGTCAAGGGCATGTACCTTGGTTGCGGGCACATCCCCGGTGGGAGGTGTGCAGGAGGCAGCTGATCGATGTTTCTCTCTCATTGATGTTTCTAACTCTCTCTCTCCCTTCCTCTCTGTAGAAAAAAAAATCAATAAAATGTATTTTTTAAAAAAATCAACCTCAATCTCTCCTCCCCCAGAGACACATGCAATTTTTTCAATTAGGTATTGTCCTCATTTGCTGCAGACAGTGTGGGAGGTCCAATCATCTGGCTAGTTTATATCATTTAAGCGGGGAATGGTCAATAGGACAATGAACTTAAATGAGCACTTCTAAAAAAATGATTTTCCAGAATTATCTGTGGAGACAAGATTCTTTTCCATTAGGAACAGTCCCTCTATTTTCACCTTCAGTCTGCCTCTCAATTTCTGAATAGGAAAGGAAGAACCACAAGTCCCTTTTACTCATCAAATCATCGCTTTTGAACCATGCAGAACACACTCTTGAAAGGATGGATGGGTGAACCAAATACACATTTGGGCCAAATGCTGAATGACCAAGTGTTAAAGTCAGCATTTGGGAAAGCCAAGGCCAAGTCCAAGTATCAGCCATCATGGAAGGCGCCTCTGGGATGCAAAGGTCACCGTGAAATTTCCTCTTAAGCATCTTAATTATTTAAAATCCATATTATTGTTTCCAATGTTGAGACTTAGACGTTGATGTCCTAGTCCAGTGGTCAGCAAACTGCGGCTCGCGAGCCACATGCGGCTCTTTGGCCCTTTGAGTGTGACTCTTCCACAAAATACCAACTTCTGTACATGGGCCACGAAGTTTCAATTGCACTGTACGTGCGCGCCCGCACATGGTATTTTGTGGAAGAGCCACACTCAAGGGGCCAAAGAGCCGCATGTGGCTCGAGAGCCGCAGTTTGCCAACCACAGTCCTAGTGCTAGAAAACTAACTCCTTAGCACCCTCAGCAATCCCTAAATGGCACTTGTGATTCAGAATAGACACATTCACTTGCCATCAGTGAGTAGGGAGAGATCTGGACTCTGACAATTTAGATGCAGCTGAAGATGATCTTGCCCTCAAACCATTATGCTCTGCCTCCTAACAGTCACTGATGAGTTTAAGACAGCTCCTTTGTGGCTCTTGGCTGCCACACTTGGTTGATGGAGGTGATGGTATAACCCTACAGATGCCCACTGTGCACTGCTTGGAAGATGGTTTCCGAATATTTTCAGATTATCATCCTCCCCCACTTTCCAGTTCTGATATTTTTCTTGCACTTGACATGAATGTATGTTGTACTGAAACATGGAAGCTAGACACGTGGCAGTGGAGCGAGGTGCCTGGTGTTGAAGACGGTCCAATTTCCACGTGCAGCTCGGCGTTCACAGCACTCAATCTACCTGCCATAGACCTCGGCCGCACACCAGTGCCTGCCCTGTGTGTGGATTTGGGCCTTGAGCTTGAAGCCATAGCTTGTTTTTTCCCCGTGGCACGTTAACATGTCTGAGCATCTTCACCTGCCAGCAGCCCCGCAAGCTTTCTGCTGCATCTCAGTGTCAGGCTCTGGAGGATGTCCCCCAGGCACCCAAAGCTCACGCCTTCCAGGCTATTTACGTAAGACCATCCCGATTACCCTCCAATCTAGGGGAAATCAATCCATCCAGATGCAGAAACAGAGCAAAACTTAACTGCATAAAAAGGATATGCTGACAAACAGTAAGTCTAACAGTTACAACAAATGTGCTACTAGTATAATCAGGAGTTGGAGAAAGAACAATGAACTGAATACCTGGTGTTTGAACTTGCTTCTGCCACACTGCTCAGCAGCTGTGGAACTTCATATTCAAGAAGTGTTTGGAGCTGACCATTTCCAACACCATCACGGTACACAATAATCCGTGCGGGCAAACCCTGATTGTACTCGTACCACTTGTTGAGTGCTCCTGCAGAATTTGGTATAAGAAAAGAATGACTCATGCAATGCTAACAAAGAATACAATTCCCATTAAATTTTAATGGTTAGCCCTAGCTGGTTTGGCTCAGTGAATAGGGCATTGGCCTGCAGACAGAATGGTTCAGGGTTCGATTCTAATCAAGGCACATGCCTGGATTGCGGGTTGACCCCCAGTGGGTGTTGTGCAGGAGGTAGCCGATCAATGATTCTCTCTCTCCTTCTCCCTTACTCTCTGAAATCAATAAAAAAAATTTAAAATTTTTTCAATGTTTAAATAAGTTTGCTGTTTCAGACCACTGTGAAATAGGGTAATACCTAACTTGGGTTGTATTCAATAACATAAAAACAAATAACTTTAGGGAACATTCCTGCCTCTTTACTATTTGAGGAATCATAATGATTTCTATGGCAAAATAGATTCTTAAGCTTAGCATATTGCAGCAGTAAAATTTTAATATTTAAGCAATAAATTAAAACTTAATTCATGCAATAGACAAATTCTTTATATGAACCAAATTAACACTAATTTAGTTTTTTTAAGTCTTTAAATCCTCTCAATAAATACAGACTGGATAAGTTTAGTTCATTTTCTTCTTTAATGAGCATGGGTATGAAAATATAAGGAGAGACCTTGGCTGTTCCTCTGGAAGTATCTCCACAGGGACTCACCCAATTAGATTTCACGTCTCACTGACAGTATAAATTTTATACACATTTCCACCCACTCTAACTAGAAATCACCAAAAGGCAGAGACCAGACAGTAACTCCCACCCAACAGAAACTTTTCATAACCACTAAAAAAAAAAGACCGGGTTTTGAAGTGAGAAGAAAGTAATAATATCATAAAGATGCAGTGATTCTGTTTGTGTATATATTGTATATACAATTTGTATAAGTTTATCATCCAGGAAATTAACTTAAATTAACTTTAAGAAGACGATCATACATGAAAGTCCATTCCCAACACCTATCACCAAATTCACTTTCTTAGTAGAAAAAAACTCTTTAAAAACCCCCAAAGTTTACAGATGGGAAAACGCAGCTCCGGGAGGGTGTGAGGTGTACAGACACCTTTCAGGAATGACAACGCCAGACCCAGGCCTGGGCTGGTAGGGGTGGGAACTCCAGGTCCCTCTTTTCACCGGTCACACTGTGAAGAGGGCACCTTCCTCACCTGCTGTCTTCCCCATCTTCTCCTGCTATGCCACCCTGCCTGCTAACATCCCCAAAGCTTCTCTCCTGTTTCTACACCTAACACTGCTCTGTCGTAATCCTTGTTCCTCTGCAGTAGGTTTCTTTTGGCCTTCAAGCTGCTTGCGAGAGCCACCAGCAGCTACAAACTCTCCCTCCTCCTGGCTTTCTGTTTATCACCGAAGACAATGTGAATCCCACAGTCTGACTGTTAGAGTCAGGACACAGCTCTGGGGATCTGCAACTGGCTGCCCATTGACTCAGGTAGGCTGGGGGAGTTTGCCTCCTCCTATCTGCTCTACTATCAGCACATGGACCTTGGTCTGAAGGAACAGTCTTGGAGCCCACCCACACTGTTATGGTTTCAGTACCGATCATGAAAACTTTTAAGCAGTCTGCAACCTCAGCGGTTGTTCTCTGAAGGATACAGCGGGAAAACCACCTAAAATAAGCAAAAAAAAAGGTAAAGTTCAAAAATGTCTACTAGACACATGCATTAACGTTAAGTTAAGAAATAAACATTACAAATATAAATCAATGTTGTTCACAAAGGTAAAGTTCAAAAATGTCGACTAGACACATGCATTAAGGTTAAATTAAGAAATAGGGCTGGACTTGTGGGGCTCCCAGAGCGGGCATTCGGGATCCCAGCCACGAGATGAGGAGCCTGAGGCCTTGAGAGGTAATTAAGTAGCAGAGCTGGCATTAGAACTCAGGTGTCCTGCCTCCCAAATTTCTGATCAGGATTGTTACAATGAGTCTACGGAAGCAAACTCCCAGCGACTTCTTAAAGCAAATCATTGGACGACCAGTGGTGGTAAAACTAAATTCTGGAGTTGATTATCGAGGGGTCCTGGCTTGTCTGGATGGCTACATGAATATAGCCTTGGAGCAGACAGAAGAATATGTAAATGGACAACTGAAGAATAAGTATGGGGATGCATTTGTCCGAGGAAACAACGTGTTATACATAAGCACACAGAAGAGAAGAATGTGAAGGCATCAAGCGTACAGCACTCTTCAGACCTGGATATATTTTTTTATGAGATCTTTTTGGTTCTTTTATATAATTTGTCATATTTCATAATAATTGGTGATTTTTCAGTTATCAAGTAGAAACTAATAATTGGTGGTTTTTCACTGACATGTGAGTAAGGTAAATGTATAAAGTTGTGGATTTAATTGTAAAGAATTCTTTCATATTTAAAAAAAAGAAATAAACATTACAAATATAAATCAATGTTGTTCACAATTTTGTATATGCTATATGGTCACAATTACATTAAAATCTCACCCTCCCCCCAAAATGAAATTTATTGAAAAGAGAAACTAAAGCATTGTGCTGACATCAGACACATCTGGGTTCAAATCCTGGCTGTATACTCATCAACTACGTGACTCTGCTATGCGAACCTAAGCTTCAGTTTCCTCACCTGTAACAAGGACATTTACAAGCTGGTATGATAGTTACTACCTCACAGGGTTACGGTAAAAATTAAATTAGATAATACACATAAAGTGCTTAGCACTTGCCACATAAAAGCACTAATAGAGGCCTCTCGGTTATTATTATAAAGGAATTTATTTAGCAGTAGATTTCTACTTTCAAAATAGTCAAAGATTTCTCAAGCATAAGCTTCCATTTCTAATGGTGAGCCTTTTGGACTTAAAAAACTTAACATGATTAAGTTATTTATATTTCAGAAGCAAGTTTTCTTGCTAAAGTCTTCAATTAATTTAAAGCACTTAGAAAATGAAGGTCACGACAATACCATGTATGCCGTCCACATAACTATACTTCTCTAAATATAGGCAACAATAGTGATGCAATTAGGATGCTGCTAACTGGCTGGACATCCTTTACCTGCTTGATTAGGGAAGTGATACATGTAACAAGGATCTCTTTCAGCCTGGAATGAGGTTGGAGGCACGCTGCTATTTTTCCTATTTTCCACAATCCCAAGTAGATACCTAACCACAAACTTAATGGAGTAAGTCAAACAGCTTAAGTCTAGGAAGAAGGAATTTGCCAACAGCTCCTACTGCCTCAAAGCATTGTTTAGTTACAAATATGGGAACAATTCTAAGAGAACTTAATAAGAACTATGAGCTCATGTTTAACGTGTTATCCCTAATCCTACCTATGTTTTTTTTCCTGCCTATGTTTTTAATAGTTGTGCGAACAGCCACCATATCAAGTGTCTGTGAGCATTAATAATAATATAATCACAAGCATGAATCCAGGCAATCTCTCAAATGCTTGACATAATGTATGTAAAGTTCCTAGTACAATGCCTAGTACAGTGCAGATGTTCAGAAAATAAATGCACAAGAATTTCTACATGGCCATCCTTTTGGGAATATGACTAGCATATGAGCAATAGCTTGTCCTATGTATGTATAAAAATAGTTTTTTTAATGTGGCAATGTATTGTCCCGATATTATCAATCATTTATGTCAGTATAATTTATGACCTTAAGTATTCACATTTTAAAAATAAGTAAAGAATACAAACTATTCCTTGCTGTATAGTCTTTAGTTAAACCACAATTAATAGTCTAAATAGTGGAAGAATATGTTACAGTCATTGTAAAAGTACCTGGTGATTCTGAGGTTAATACTGGCCACAAATCCAACCACCACCATTCCCTTGTTGAATGCATCTTTACAGACATCGATGCCAACTACCATCAGGGACTTTAACTGTAAAATTAAATTTTTCATGATTTTAATGGGATGAGGTATTATTTCCTCAAACAACAACTTAATATGAAAGTTTTAAAAATTACCCCCATTATTTAATTATTCAAGTTAAGCTATGTGCCAGGAAGATCAAGGTCCAGGTGAGGCAGATATTTAACCAGAAACCAAAGAGACTTAAAGAGGAAGGGAAGAATATGGTACATACTTTGCTTTAAGAGATTCACTACAGTCCAAAATAGCAACCATCCTTTGTGGAGATGGCCATGAGTCATCAGTGGCTCAAAGGATTCTGGGAAAGTGCTCAGTCCCTTTATCCCTTGCCTCTGGGCTGAAGGAATCTGAAGAGGAATTCCAGCCCCCTTTCTTCAGCTCTCTAAGGACTCCTCACCTGGCTATGCAGCTGGGGTCACCCTGCTTATGGAAGCGTAAGAGAATTGGGCTACATTCTCTCACTTCTCATTCCCACACTTCCTCCCACAGTGGCCACAGTTCAGGAAAGACAAGAGGATTTTCTCAGTTCCCCACACAGTTTGGAGATTCAGATGATAGGCTCTGCCAGCTCTCCAAGGTTTGGGGAGGCCCAACCAGGATACAAGGCTACTCTGAGAGTTAGCACCTGGTGGAAGCAAATAAAGGCAAAGGCCGTGGAATGCAGATTTTAAATAGCTGCCAGAGGCTCTAAAGCACGTCCTTCCAAATCTATGCCAAACTAGATTCTCTCCCAGGATCTATTCTGTTATCAGCTTAACTGAAGCTCCTTGAGAACGGGGCCTACGCCTCACCTGTGCACACCTTCACAGTGGCTTGTGGAAGCCAAACCCAGAGCAGAGCTCAACAAGCAAAACAAATACCTCTGGGATCCTGTAAAAAATCTCCCACTTTGATTTCATTTTTTAAATGAATTCATCAGCCCGGCCGGCGTGGCTCAGTGGTTGAGTGTCAACCTATGAGCCAGGAGGTCACAGTTCAATTCCCCATCAGGTTACATGCCCGGGTTGCAGGCTCGATCCCCAATGTGGGGCGTGCAGGAGGCAGCCAATCAATGATTCTCTCTCATCATTGAGGTTTCTCTCTCTCCCTCTCCCTTCCTCTCTGAAATCAACTTTAAAAAATACGTTTTAAAAATGAATTGATCAACTGATTACTAAAAGGACAAGAGTGACAGATTCCTCACAGGGATCTCAACGGCCCACAGCTCGCCTCCAAGTTTACAGGTCATCTGCATGGCAATCTTAGTGGCAATACTCATCATCATCCCCTGTTTACTCAAGGTCCGAACAAGCACACACTGGCTTGGGACTGGGCAGTCGGAGCTCAGATATTTTTTAATGGATTCATAATAGTTCTGCTGAGCAGAAGGCAGAATACACATGACCTAAAAGCAAAGCAAAAAAAAAAAAAAAGAGTCAATTTACTTATGCTTAGAAATTGCTTTTTAAAGAAAAATGAATACATGGATTCTTCAAACATCTTTTGCCCTTAAGTTCTCAAGCGGCAAATGTGAACACGCCTACAGGTCTTTAAACTTTGACAATTAATCAAGGCCATTTGAAATGCCTTCTCATCAGCCATCCACTCCACCAAGCCCAACTCCGTCTTACCATCTCCCTCAGCCAACCCTTCCCTTCCCCTTCACTTCTCTACTGATTTCATTCTGTCGCGTCCTCGAGTTCCCTTCTAACTGAGCTCTTCCTCCGGCCACCTGCCCCCTCTGCATGACCCTCTATGGCTCTCCTGTCTCACCCCCTCTGCCTCGCAACTTCACCCACAGAGAATTGGCTTACACTGTGGTCTTTTCCCCATTAGGTACTGAACAACCAAAATAAAGGAAACAAAAACAACATATGTTTTGTTTCCTGGTACTTGAAAGTAGGGATATGGGAAGAGAGAAAATAAGGAGAAAGAAACTCGGTGTCCCCTGATATTTTTTAAGTCCACCCAGCTCTGTCACTGCCCTAGTTATCAGGTATTTCCCTTAGAGAAGGATGACCCCTGGACTACCTCCACCTCCTTTCTACCTTCTATTCTCTACCTTCAAACCCCCACCCCCTAAACTATAGAAAAGATAGGTACTGTCATAATAAGCTAAAGAAAACAAATAAAGTTATTTTTCACCTATAGATCTGTTCAAAATCATAATGCCCAGTGTTAAAGTTATTTAAGTAGAAAATTATAGAAAGTGGGAAAAGGTATTCTTAAATTGTCAGCAAAATTATCTTAGGAACCTTCTTTCCTTCCATCCATTGAATTTGGGGCCAAGCAAGGCAGGTGGTAGAAGCAAGGCAGTGGCGCAATAGGACCAGGGCCAAAGAAGGAGGGAGCCAAGTGAGACTGGTTACACACCAGGGATGGAGAGATAAGCATACATTTAGAAAATAATAGCGGTCACTAGCAGAGGAGGAGTGGTACAAATTTGGAAAGGGAGAGTGCCTTCCTGTGGTATTGAATCAGAACTGGAGGTGTGAACATGTTTTTAATATATACATAGGTACATATAGTAATAAAATAGATGTAGTTATACATAATATATATGTATGTACATGCAGGCACATGCACACATATATTTGCCCCAGCCTTGCCCATTGAGAGAGCCTGGGACAGCAACACTCCAGTAGCAAATGAGCACATCCAATTCCCAGATCTTGGTTTCCAAATACTGTTCTCTGCCCAGAGGGATCAGGGCTCATTAGAGAAATTTCTGATTCCAGAGCTGGGCAGCAAAACTTCAGGATTAGCCTGGCATATCTCATTGTGCCAGACAGTGAGGATGTGTTCCAAGAACGATGGGGACATGTCAACAAGACATAGAAGCCAGCTTGAACGGGGCTCTCACTGGAAAAACCAGGGAACTTTGGGCATAAAAAGAAATAGTAGTAGTGGACTATACGGTAGTAAAATAGGGATCCATACTTATATAAATAGATGCACAAAGAATTGGAGAGAAAAGGAAGCTTTTCTTTATAATATCATGGCACCAAATAAATGTAGAAGGAAGTATAGAATTAAAAAGCCACCATTTGGCAACCATCAGAGGAATAATGGATTCAAACAAGAATTACTAATGGATTCTAAAACTAGTGGGTAAAAGTTTGATGAGGAATAGATATTTACAGAGTCTCAAAATATCTCCCTATCAAAAAGAAAAAAAATTAATTGTAAAGAGAAAAAGAATAAGTTGACAGGTACCACCTTAATCAGTGGGGTACCCTATAGGACACAGTGAGAACACAGATTCATACTTCCACCCAAAGTGCACAACCTGAATTTAATCATAAGGAAACATTGGACAAACCCAAATTGAGGAGCATTATACAAAATACTGGTCTATACTCTTCAAAATTAGAAGGCCATCAAAGGCAAGGAAAAAACTATGGAACTGTTCCAGATTGCACACGAAACTAAAGAGACAGCACAACCAAGTGCAACACATTAGATCCGTTTACTAGACAGGACATATAAATGGGAAAATGTTCATGGAGTCTGTGGATTAGCTGCTCATACTGTTTCTT